AAAAAAAAAAAAAAAAAAAAAAAAGGAAGGAAGTAAAATTTCTATGTAAGGGGAAGATTTTTATTCATATTTACTAGAAGGCAAGCTCATAAGGGCAGGGACTTTTTTCTCACTGCTACATTTCTATTGTTCTCAACACTGTCTGGCACTCAATTTTTTTTTTAGTGAATCAATCATTAAAGAATAAATAGTACCAGGATTAAGCAGCAAAGCTCACATTGCAAAAATACTGCCAGCGGTTAACTCTCTATAAAAGCCAATTGAAATACAGCTTGGGAAGTAGGACAACACTGACATGTATATGAAGACATCTATGATCCCAAAGGTTCCATGAAATTTAGTATTAAATCTCTGTTCATCAATGGAGCATATAAGTTTTGAAATTACTGGAAAAAAAAAAAAGATATAATTCACAAAAATATTTTCCATTTTATAAATTTTTCTTTCCTTTTTCAGATCTGGCATAAATAGCTCTTCCTCAATTGCATATATAAGCAATCAAAGCAAAGAACAGGTTTTGCTATCTTAATGTATCACAATTTTAGTATTAAAAGCTATAGTTCATTAAAGAAAAAAATTCCTGTAAGAGAAAAAGCATATGCATCAACAAGGGTGTACAGGACACTGCAGAGGATAAAAACATACATAACTGTCTCTGTCTCCAAATAGTTTACAATCTATACACTATTTTTAATGTATTTCATATAACTAAAGCCTTTTAAAACTTTCTCTCGAAAATTATGCCTGACTCACTACTTAATAAAATTTCCTTAAGTAAAATGAGAAGAAAACCGACATCGTGGCTTGTGCTATAATCCCAGCAACTTGGGAGGCTGAGGCCAGAGGATTGCTTGAGGCCAGGAGTTCAAGACCACCAGGCTGGGCAACACAGCAGGATCCCCGACATTTAAAAAAATTAAAAATTAAAAAAAATAGACATCAATAAGCTAGACATGGTGTTGCAAGCCTGTAGCCCCAGGCATTCAGGAGGCTGAGGTAGAAGGATCACTTGAGTTCAAGGAAGTTGAGGCTGCAGACTGCACCACTGCATTCCAGCCTAGGAAATGAGCAAGACCCTGCCTCAAAAGGAAAAAAAAAAAGAAGTGGTTCTTACTTATTAAGAAATGTTCAAACATAAGTAGATAGGTTTAATGAATCCCCATATACCTATCACCTAGCTTCAATAATTGTCAATATCTGGCAGTCTTACTTTGTCTACCTACCTTTCACACATAGTTTTAAAAGCTAGAATATTTTAAAGCAAATTTCAGATGTTATTCCAACTATAAATCAGTGTTTTTTTCCTCTTTTTTAAACCATCATTTATCACCACACCCAATAAAGTAATTTTCCCCTATTATTAAAAAATAAATAAATAAAGTTGAAATACCCTTTAGATCCAGGATCAAAGTAAATTACACAGCACAAAGTTTCAAAATGTAAACTTGAGTTTTCTTGCATGGTAAAAAAGAGGCCATTGTTACTATTACAGAGACAACAAACACAGTGACAATTTCACTTGACACAAATTAACACAATGGAATACCATTTTTCATCTATCATAATGGTAAAAATTGAATGTCTGACAACACTCAATGTTGCTAACAGTGTTGAGCAATGAGCCCTTTCATATATCAAAGGTGGTAATGTAAACTGGCACAACTTTTATAAAGTACAATCTAGCAACGTTTTACCTAATTAAACCTTTATGCCCTACACTAAACTGCCCTACAAATACACATTAGAAAGTGCAACTACTGGCTGGTCATGGTTGCTCACATCTGTAATCCCAGCACTTTGGGAGGCTAAGGCAGGAGAATCACTTGAGCTCAGGAGTTCAAGACCAGCCTGGGTAACACAGTGAGACCTTGTCTCAATTTTTTAAAAAGTATAGTAAAAAATAAAAAAAAAAGTTTTTAAAATAAAAAAGAGCAACATAAACATAT